AAATTCATATCGTGACAAGGACCGTGACAGTAATCAACAACCAAACAGATTAATGTAACTAAGCTTGAGCCACAAGTTGATCACGTGAACATAGAATACATTTACAATAAGGAATGATCTGTAATTCAGAGTAGAAAAACAACGTGTTCGGTGACGGTTGAGATTTTTGGTGAGCTTTGTGACGAATAAAAGATTTGAGACGAGACTAGTGTTGGGTGAACTGGTGATTTCCAACATGGGTTCTGTGTGGATCAATAAAAAGAGTTAGACAATAAATACTAGGAGTACGCGTTGTGCGTTTCGCGCGAGTGTTTGACTTGACTAAAGGTCTCTACTCGAGTGACGCCGACAATTTCGCGTGCTCTATCTGGAAAACATTTTCAGTTATGTCAAGAAATCTTGAAAAGAGAGGCTTCTTGTTTCCATGTGTGTGTGTTTTGAACGCCGGCAAGTGTGAAAAAGGTAATTCCGAGAATTCCTAAGCGGCACCTCAATCGTACTAAGGTGCGAACTAAGTTCTTCAGTTGCAGTTGTTGCAGGTGTGTTGAATCCACCCATGGCTTATTTTTAGCCTAATTTGCATACATTTTTTTCTCGGGCAGAGCTCGTCATAGTAAAAAAAAAAAATGCGAAGGGAGTTTGAAATTTTTCCCCACATGAAATTCAATTCTGTTCTTTTAAGCCCTTTGTAAGGTGTACAACGACGTCAAATGCCTCTTTAAGAGGCAAGCTTTATGACAAAGATGGCAACATTTGGATTATCAAAGCAATGGACCCACTTGAACACACCCACATCCATTGTTTAAAATCAGCGTTTTTTTTTAAACGCATGCTTCATCTGTGAAACGAGGTCGTTGCTCCGCATTTTAACTAATTATATAACTGCAGTATAAGTTGAAAAAAATCTATTTGTTAGAAGATTTTCACTCGAGCATTCTTAACTTTGACTGCATGATAGAAAACCTTTCTACACCTTTTGGGAAATTTGCTAGCCTTAGGGGTCATTGGTGTTCAATTAATTTTATAAACGTGTTTGAAGTTGGATAACGGATAACCATCTTGTAAAGCATATGGAACACACATGTTTGCTTTGTTGACTGTGGTACGGTTGGCTCAGTAACCTAACATCTTGCACCGTTAATCAATGCACATTTTAACATTGTGGCATTTATAAATAGTTTTAGTGACAGTAACTTGTAAATTTTTAATTCATTGATAATCACAAGTTAACTGCCAACAATTCGTTAGGAAATTTTGACACGTTAACAAAGTCTCTATTATTATATCATTGTTGAAATATCGGTCCCAAAAGCTCTTTTTTTTATGGGTGTGGAAATGCCCATTTCTATCAAGGGTTAAAGATAATGGAAAAGTTCTCTTTACTAATTTCCATATTG